TGAAATGTTTGGCAGGATTTTTATGATCGGCCATTATGAAATTGTGCCGACATGTTGATGAAACGAAACCCTTTCAGCCCAGAGAGCTCAGAGTTTTATCACCCGGTTAGCGGAGTTCTCATGAAGGCATTGTAACCCTTTCACTTAATTATTGGGCACATAATGTACCATATTCATGGCAACCGCCACGTCGGCAAGGGAGTATTCACAATGGAAACTACCGACTACTAACCCGACCGACCAAACGACCGAACGACCGACCGACCCGTGTCCTTTATGAGTTCCCCGTATCACAGTTCGCAGCTCAAAGTTCCCAGTTACCAGTTCACAAATCCCAGTTCCCATTTCCCAGTCTACCTGAATTTGCAATTGTGCAATATCCAAGGGCCCGAGGAGAGCCCATTGCCACCGATTTACCATTATTATTATGTCTCATGTGCCGACCAGACCATCCCGCGCGGATTTCACGCATTCATTGAGGAATTGTCGAAGAGCTGTGCGATAATTGCACCACCTCACCTCATCACACTGCCCATATAAGTAGGTATGTAGATATATATTAATGAATCGGACTGACTAAACAGATTTAAGGGGTCTGGAAATACAAATCAAAGAACGGCGTTTTTAATATTATAACTAGATACGGATTATATGCAAACACGTAATCAAAACAATCGATTTCTAGCAATCTTAAATTAAAGATAAATTTTTTTTCAAAAATTCAAAATTTGATTTGCGCTTCAACAAATTTTGATTATTTAAAAAATCTTTTTATCTTAACTAAGTTGGCTTAAATTCGAATTTTAATAATTCTATTTTGCATAAAGTCCAATGTCTAATTATAACGTAACAACCGATTGGGTTTACAAAGAAATAAATTAAATATATTTATCTTCTCTATAACGAAAAAAAGGTCGTATTAAAAAGCTAATCATTTATCCGAATTATAAATAAAATAATATTTCCTTAAAGCATTCTGACAACTTAAAATATATTTTCTTAATCTTTAGTAAAAATATCTATCAAGATTTTGTAGATGCTATCACACAAATGTAGTTTTTAGAACATTAATATAATCCGATATTATACGAATTAAAAAAATGAAGCCACAATTCATGGATGAGTGGCTATATAATTAAAAGCATTATTTATAATTACCAAGTTCTTTCGAGTACCGAGCATAATTATATTAAACTGTGCGAGGTTCGATTCGTTTCGAAAATCCTTCTCTCGACAAACGATCATTTGAAGATCCAAACAGTTGTTTGAGTTTTGTGGGATAAATCGCCTGAAACTAATGAGCTGTCCTTTTCCTGGGGGGCGTGGAACCGAAGTGATCTGGAAAAAAAAGAAGAAAATGTAATTAAATGTGAGATGTTGTGACGCCTTTTGTTTGAAGACTGAAGACTGGACTTGAACTTCCCATGGCCTTTGACTTTGCCTTTTAGCCATTTTCGGGCTCAGATTCAGATTCAGGTTGATATTTTATATTTTTAGCTTGACTTTCAGACTCAGGGCGTTTTTGTGTGGGTACGGATTCGGAATCTAAATCGAAATCGATGCAGGGTCGAAAATTATTAATGGATTTTTAATATCATTTGTGTCAGCGTAAATCGTATTTAAAGAAATCAGTGGAATGAGGGCCGAGCCGAAACAAAGCACAACAAAAAAATGTGAAACGATTTATTGACCTGAAGTCAAGTACAGAGCGAGCGAGATGAGGAATATATATACAGCCATCAGTCCATCCATCCATACACAGAGAGAAATATTCATTAGGTTTAGACTCAAATTGAGAATTTTTGTACTTAAAATATAACCAAGAACATAAATTCTTACTTTAAGTGAAAAGTACTCAATTTCAATACAAATTTTTAAAAAAATATCATATCATAACTTCAAACCTCCAAAAAGGGAAACAAGTAAGGAAAATATTTTACAATTATGATTTTATGAAATATCAATATGATGTATGAAGAACATATCAACTTAATATTTTATCATTTCATATAATATACAAAATGTAGTATTTTTTCTAAAAATAATGTAAAATAAGATAAACATAATCTTTATTAATATTAAAATGATATGAATAACTTGATCTTTAAAAAATATCAATTTGACCAGAACATATCAATCTGATCTTTTGCCAATTTTCTCTGTGTACATATATCGCATATAGTCGCTGGATCTTTGTAATCCACAGGGCCTCCACTTGATGGTTCGAACCTGGCTGAGAATGGGAATGGTATGATGGTAAGGTTAAGGCTTCGGCTAAGGGGAAATGAGAACCTGGACGACAAAGTGTGAAAAATGATTGATCGATTTCGTCTCGGCTCTCGGACCTCGATTACGCTTCGATTTCGGTTCGTGCACAAAGGGTGCCGTGCCGTGTGTTAATAAAGATTCAGATTCTATGGGACAGTGTGTCTTTGGAACCTGGAACCTGGACCCTGGATTCCCTGTAAATCTGAAATCTCCGTTTTGATTCCCAACCGAGTGGCGGCGACAGCAACGACAATCGACATAATAAGATAGCAATTATTTATCAAATCTGGCAGGGGGCGACGAATCTGAAGCGTAAGAAACGAGAAATGAGCATTTTTTGATTTTCTTTCGATTTTTGATTAATGAAAGCATTTCGCCATACAATAGAAGAGAAAGGAAAAACGAAAGTGTTGACTAGCACTGGCCAACAACAGGGGGCGACATCGCGATGACCCCAGAGACCCGACCCACAAAAGACATTTCCATTCGTAATCGTCACAAAAAAATTGAGCATCGAGGACTGACTTTTCACTTCCGAACTCACATCAATCAATTTACAAAAGCGGCGCCGATTTGAAAAGTGACACTCAGCACTGGGGAATTGATTATAAAGTCACTCCACGCATTAATACCATCGGATAATAATATTCTCAATCAATTCATTTGACGACACATTTTTTAAAAAATTGTTTAACTTGTACGTGGTCTAAAATTTTGCAGTAATAGATTTAAAATTGTTTAACACTTCGAAACCAACTTTCTATTAACACTTGTTTCAATATTCTGCCTGGATTTATTTGGTTGATTTTATCGTTTTGGTATACCCACTTCTGTAATTTGAAATTTTTTTCAGAAATAACGCCTTTTGACATATTTTGGTTGTGGGGGGATTTCCATTAGTTTATCACCCTAGAGGGAGGATTTATCCCCTATACCACCAACAAATTTTTAAAAATTAGCTAAATTTTATATTTTTTGTGGAGTGATGTAATAAACTGGATCAATCAAAGGGGTCCATATTAAATGCGAAATATCTAGTTAGATTTCTTTTTGTTTTTTTTTTTTTAATTTTTCAAATTTTAACACGCAACAAATTGTGAATTGAGCAAAACTGATTATTTTTATTTTGTTTTTGGTATTCAGTTACTCTAAAATCTGAATGTTTTCATGAAATTTAACATGGATGCTAACGCCTGATGGGTATGCAACATTATCTTGCTCCTTTTTTCGTCCCACTTGGGCTAAAATAAATTGCACAAAGCTTTTGTTTCGCTTTAAGAACTTCCCTTGGACATTTGTGTGTATATACATACATATATTGATGCGAAAATGTGTAGGAGCAGCGAGTGTGTTTGTATCTTTATGTGGGACATTCCAACGTCTAACCAAATACATAATGTGTGTGTGCGGCGGCGGATGGGTGGGTGGGAATAATTTTAATTCGGCAATGAAAAGGACAATGAAACGACAACGAAGGAGATGTACATGGGCCAAGCACATACATAAACGATTTACATAGGCCATTGGTGGGTGGGTAGGGAGAGGGGGTGAGGGGGGAAAGAGGAAGCAGCAGCAGCGACGCTTCTTTGTCACCAGTGCTCGAATTCCATTGGTGCTGCGCTGTGGCGACAGGGAAAAAAATCGAAGCGAATCGCCCCCATTGCCAAAGTGTCACCCATACATACACCCACACAGGGGCACACACACAGATACAGATACACCCGCAGCGACACAGCGACACACACACAGATACACGGCGGCGCAATCGCAAAACAAAGAGAGCCGCTCGCTGCGGCCATTCGTGGGCGAGTGACAAGGACGGACAGAGGGCACATGTACACCACACAAACACACCCACACACACATATAGAGTGGACAAGACATCAAATGACAAAAATTTAAAAAGAACCTTTGGCAACCGAGAAGCGACGACGAAGAGAGGACAGCAGAGAGGCAAAAGACAAGACAAAAAGTGACGTCGCAGCAGCGACAAATTACGTACAGTGTACACCGTACACTGCGGCCATTGCCATCTCTGTCACACACTCACACCCATGCCACACACAAGCAAAGTGGAGAGCGAGAGCTGCGTTCTCTTTGGCTGGCGGCAGTGCGTGTGACTGACCACACACACAGACACACATACACACGTGTCGCATGTGTCAACCCAACGAAACGGTTTCGTCCACTCAGACGACAGTGTGCGAGCGGGCAGGCAATAGCCGCCAGCCAGCGAGTGCCAGCGAGAGAGGAGAGGCAGGCAAACGAACGAGAGAGTAAGAGAGCGGTGGCTGCTCTTGACCGAGCACTGCTTTGCCGACTGTGCGAGTGCGATGGCCTGCAGCGCCGTGCCCTCACTCGCTCGCTCTCGCAGCGAGCGCACTATAATGACCCATCGACGACAATGTGACGAAGCGAAGGCCAATTCCAATAGCGCGCTCTCTCACACTCTTCTCGTCGTCTCGCCCAGGTGCCCCGGAGCACCAGAGGAACGGGAGAGCGTAAGAGCGAGTGCGAAAGAGAGCGAGCGAGCACCGGAGCCGGCGAGTGCGAGCGAGAGCGAGAGCCAAGTGTCACCCACCACCCCGTGTGCGTGTGTGTGTCGTGTCCGTGTGTCGCCGCATTTGTCGCTCGCCACCGTCGCCGCTCTGCCCGCTGCGCAGCCGGCGTCGCAGTCGCCGCACAATTTCGTCGGTGAAACGACAAATCGACAATCAGTGTCACCCACGACATTCGAAGAAGTGGATCTCAGCTGTCCCTGCTCTCCGCACATCCGCATCTTCGCATTCGTACTCGTATTCGCAGTCGCATCCGCATATCCGCGCGTCCACTTCTCTCTGCCGCGCGTGCTTGTTCGTGTGCCAGTGTGCGTGTACCGCAAAATAGCATGTACATGTATCTGTATGTGCATGTGCGCCAAGTGAACGACCAACTTTTTTAATATCGAGCAAAATGCAACGAAAATAAATGCACGACGGCATGAAAACGAAAAGAAGCGCAAAACAACAACAGTGAATTCGAATTTGATAACTTTTTCAAAAACAAAACGATAAAACCAAAAACCTTTTTTTAAATGGCAAACCTGTGACAAAGTGAAGAGCAACAACAAGCAGAATAAACCAGCAATAAACCAAAAAACACTCAACTATAGGCAACTTTTAAAAGGTATGTATAGTTGATCGAATATCGTCGGCACTTTGTACTTCGATTTCTTGTAGACTTTGTTCAAGATCCGTTGGATATTTTACTAAGAATAACAGGATCTTAAAAGGGATATTTACTTTGATCTAGTTTCGGTATGAGCTTTTAATAGTTTAGTGCGATAACCGGTTGTAATGACCGGTTAAACTAAAAAACCTTATAAAGAGATCGTGATGGTTTTGATGAATTTTCTACTGTCTTTGTTCAAAATTGAACTAGTGTCAACAACTGATTTCTTCTACTTTCTGTGTTAGGGCGCACAAAAGATATACAATATACGAAACAAAAAAATGTCGGGTCTTCGGGGAAACGCCAAATGTCAAAGTTGTAATTAAGATTTTTGTCTGCGGCTTTCGAGCTCTGTTTTTTTTTTTTTCGCTTGAGGTCCGGCCATCGGGGTTGTCATCTTCGGACCATTGGAGGCCCCCCTCAAGTCCCCTGCCCCTGAAAAATCTACTGCTTATTATAATGTACTACTATTAACAGCAACTACAACAGCAATTATAGCCGCCGGATTGCTCACATCTCGGCATCTTCCATCATCCATCTCGTCTCTTAACTCTTAGCTCGTAGCTCCCAACTACCAACTCCCCAAAACCCCAACTACTCTCTGAATTCTTCGGTCTTGTCTCCTCTTGGGTTGTCTTGTCTTTTCTTGGGGACGACTTTCAACATTTTGCTGCCACTACCACTGCCACTGCCGATAATCAAAAAAACGTTTCGTCCGAGAGCCATCAAAAGTTGTGATTGGTTTTTTACCCCCTCCGTCACCACTTTTTTCCCCTTTGGTGGCTTAAGACATTTTAAGCGTTTGACAAAAATAATTACCCATGTACATGCATACTCACCTCGATCTGTCGACCGAATGCACTGCGAGAAAAGCAATTTGCTTTTGACTTGGACCCGCATTTTCCAACTACGCAGGTGTAGCCCCCATAAATCGGCTAAAAGTTGGCCAAGTTTCTATTATTACTACATTTTTAGTTATAAACATCGAGTAGAATCTTGGATAATCATGTTCGAAACACCATTTTAGGTGTCTACTATTCGTAGTCACAATTTGATTGATTCCTAGTACTTGACAATTGAGTTTTATAGTGTTTTTTTCGCGTTTTATTTTGCTTTTCTTGCCGTGTACATACACTCATTTTAATGCTATTGTTGTCATCGTTACTAATGAGCCCCATAAAAAGCGACCATCTCCTGGCTTTCTGCATCTGTATTCGGTAGTATCTGTGAGCCATGGTCGTCGTATGTGGTTTTCGGTTTTCAGTTTGGCATTGGGCAAAAGGCGAATGCGAATGTGTGTTCGACTTTTGAGATCGAATCCAGATAGCCAGCCACGACATCGCACACACGATCGTCTGAAAATCATCATCATCGTCCGCATCTCACCGCAATTGTCCCCAGTTTGTGACGCCCCTGGGTTTGGTTTGCTTTTCTTATATATTTTTTTTTTTTTTTTTTTGCTCTTTTTATACTACCACTGCTCACAATTACGGTAGCGAACGGAGCCCACAATAAAAATCTAGCTCTTTTGCTTCGGGTTTGGGTTTGGGTTAGCCAGCTTTAAACTCGGACTGATCGAATCCGAAGTCTCGAAGTCCGACACTGATCGCCGCATGTTGTCGTCGCCGTCGACGTTGTCAGAGGCGATTTTAATGGCCAGAAGAACCGAAAAAGCTGTAAAAGATTTCGCTCAAGTAAATGAGGCAATGTGCACTTACACTGTACAGTCCGGCCTGCCTAAGGCGAACTTTGGGCGATAGTAGCGGAATTTGGGGTATATAATTTAATGATCTCTTTCTTTTACATCAAATTCCCCATAATAATCAAATGGGATTTCTTTATTTTTGACCATATCATATTATAGACGTTCTACTGTTTTATTTGCCGTCATCAAAGATAGGCCGATATCGGTGTCACCGATATATGACTGAGTTATTTCGGTATATCGCTGGCATGTGTGTATGTGTTTAGGCAATAAATCTGGATGGATTTGCACAAAGTTGGCTAAGCTCCTTGGTTTACTTTCACTTGAATGTAAAATTGCCCATTTGTTAATACACCTGAGATGTGTATTGGCTTACATTCTCTTTACTTGCTCCATACTCTTTAAACGTAGAGATACAGAGTGTATTCTTAAAGGTTTTCCTTTTGAGGAATGGGAATGGTCCTTCGGACGCAGTGACAACGCTGTAATCGTTGTAATCCACTGATTAATTGAGCCCTCGAATAAACTTTCTCCCTTTGAATTCCCCCGAATGACCGCCTTGACTTTTCGCACTCTAATTGCGCATCGATGTGGGATGTGGGTTGTGCGAAGTTTGCCCTGCTGACTCTCTGCGATAAGGTTGAGATTTCGTTTCCAATTCCGAATAGTTGCGCAATCGGTTTTGCCCGAGTTCGAGTCCAGCCACCCTGGCATTTACTTGGCAATAGTTTTTTGATTAGGACTGACCGACCAACCGACCGAGCGACCGATTCAATGACTTCCTGATTGACACTCTTTGATTGACACTTCTAACGATACGTTTTTCTGCTTCTGTTTTTCGCTTTGCAGGTTCACCAGCTACAACACAGATCCACCACAGACTACAGACGACACATCATGGAGCACATAATGAATCCGTTCATGTCACCGGCTTATCTGCTGGGCCATGGCCCACATCATCCCCACCACTCCCATTCCCATGGGCCACAACAACAGTCGTCACAGTCCCAGCAATCGAATACCAATGGCAATGCCTCCTCGCCGGCCAGTTCACCAGGCGGTTCTAGTGGCTCTGGATCCGGTGGTTCTTCGGGTTCATCCTTGAAGCCACGTCGCTGGGGCTCGCCGCCCATCAATCTGGCTGGGCAGTTTATCAATCCGGCGACGGGCAAGAAGCGCGTTCAGTGCTCCATTTGCTTCAAGACCTTCTGCGACAAGGGCGCCCTCAAGATTCACTTTTCTGCCGTTCATTTGCGAGAGATGCACAAGTGCACCGTGGAGGGTTGCAATATGGTGTTCAGTTCGCGACGCTCGAGGAATCGTCATAGTGCCAATCCGAATCCCAAGCTCCATTCGCCGCACATTCGTCGCAAGATTTCGCCGCATGACGGGCGGACGGCCCAGCAGTTTCCCGTCTTCTCACCGAACTCGGCGGCGGCGGCAGCAGCGGTCGCTGTGGCGGGACGACTTCCGGTTGCCTTTCCGGGTTTGCTGCCACCACCGCCGCCGCATCATCATCATCCGGGGCATCATCATGGTCACCATCCGTATGTAATGTTCGGCGGTCATCATGGCCTGGGCGGTCTGCTCTCCTCCACCTCCGCCTCCAACTCGTCGTCCTGCCAGGATACGGACTCGGGATCGGTGGACAATGAGGATGACTTTGTGTATGTGGACATGCAGGCCAATAGCTCTAGTCCGGCGGCCTCCAGTGATCAGGAGGATCAGGTTGAGGAGGATCAGGTTGAAGAGGATCTGCTTGAGGAGGAGGAAGATCATCAGCTGGCCGAGGATCAGGACGAGGAAATGCACTGCAGCTTGAGCCTGGCCAGCAGTAGTAGCATCCACAATGCCGCCGAGGATGAGGAGCGAGCCGATCAGCCACTGGACTTTAGCCTGCACAAGCGACGCAAGTCGGAAGAGCTGGAACAGGAGGTTGAAAAGGAGCAGGAGCAGGATGTGGAGTCGGACAAGGAGCAGGAACAGGATCAGGAACTGGAGCTGGAGAAGCGCACGCCCAGTGATGCCTTCTCCATGGATCAGCTGCTGGGCAAGCGGAAGCGTCACGACAGCAACGCCTCCAGTTCCGCCGGCTCCACGGTTGCTGCCTCCCCTTCTACCACCGCCGCCTCATCCACCTCCTCTACCTCCATCGCTCCAGCGACGAGCATCAAAATGGAACTGGACCTGGACTGCACCACCACCACCACCGAGAGCCACCGTCGGCAACAGCAACCAATGCTACCTCTGCCCGTTTTGGATCTCGAGGAGCGGCACCATCTGCGCCTGCTGCAGACCCAAATGTTCGCAGCCGCAGCCGCCGCGGCGGCACCAGCCTTCCTTCCACCAGCGGGTGGATCCCCCATCGATCTGGCCAAGGACTCGCCGCCCATGTGGAGTCTCCTCTCGGAGATGTATCGCTCCATGCTGCTAAAGACGCAGCACCAGCAGCAGCAGCAACAGTACAGCAGCCACCACCAGCAGCTGCAACAGCAGGCGCATCATCATCTGCAGCAGCAACAGCAAGAGCAGCAGCAGCAGCAGCACTATCATCATCTGAACCAACTGACCCACCACCTGAACCACCTGAACCACCAGGAGCAGGCACTGAACCACCTCAATCTGAGCCAGCAGCCGCAACAACAGTCGCCGGCGGCCACAAATGCGCCGATTTCGGTCTAAATTGTGGATAAGATGATCTAGAATCTAGATGATTTGCTTCTAAACTGTGGATTAGATGATCTAGCATCTAGAATCTAGCATCTAGGGTCTAGCATCTAGATGTTTTCCTTAGTCAAATTTGTTTTTCTTTTTTTTTTTTCGTATTTTAAGATGGGGTTCTGGGGAAGGTAGTCGTGGTTGGGTGGTAGTGGGGACGTGCCAAAAGCTGGACCATTAAATGGCTGGCAATCCTCCTCAGGCGCGACCCTGCCACACCCACCTACACCTACAAAAAAACCTTCCACCCTCCCTCTACACAAACTTTATGTGTAACTGGAATTGCTCCGAAACTAAGCTTTTTCTGCTCGTACATGTGTTATATGGAATTTTTTTTGGAAAACGTATGTTTAATGTATTATGTATACCGTAGTAGTGCGACGACATCTAAGTGTATAGTATTCAATCCGTTCCTCAGTGTGAATGTTGAATGAATGAATGAATGAATGAATGTGTTTTTGTGCGTTTGGGATCCCAGGATCGGGGATCCACATAGTCTCTCTGGGCAGTGCAGAAAAAGGGGCTTTAAGGAACGGATTCTCATTCGAGAATAATTCCCTCTGCCGCCCCCTCGATCGATCAATCGATGTGTACAACGAAGTATTTGATATTTATAACGAAATATATATTATGAAATGCATATATTAAATAGTTTTAAGACAATTTTTTTCGTAGCCAATAAATGTATGTATTGTATAACTTGGATGTACTAACTAAAACACACAGCAAGCGAATTCTATTGAAACATATCCCCCAACCCCAACACACACACACAAACACACAGATAAATCCAATAAAAATGGTTGATAGATCTTAGGTGAACGAAAAAAAATGTTATTGCTCTCGCTAACGAAAATTCCTCCCGACGATTATTGTGCACTGTATTACAACAAGAATTTAAGTTTTTATTAACAAATAAACAGCGGCAAAATTGAAGAAACATGTAATCAAAGGTGCTTTTTTATTGGTTCAATGGGGCGGATACGTAATTTTTATGTTTCAGTCGATCGAAGTACAAAGGAAATAAAGTAAGTACTTTTATGAGTCATCGGGTTTATTATAAATATTTAGAAGAAGACATGTTTTTTTTGACGATTATATAGAATAGAATATGCATAAATAGAATATTAAAAAGGACTTTTGGGTTGGCAACAAGCAAAAAAAAAACACAAGTATTTGGTTTTGTCTCAACGACTTTCAGATTCAAATGTGTATAATATTGGTCTGATGAGATCTATAATGGGCAACGCCCTCGAAAGTGTCTCTCCCTCCCGCTTGCGCACATTGGCACCACAGACACTGATGAGATGCTGAGATACCAAGATATCGAGATACCGACGGACTCTTGGGAAGGCGTGACATGCGGCATAAATTGTTTTCGGCTTCGGAACTACACTGTACTATACCAAACGATACCGAACCATACTATATAATACTCCTCCTATACTTGAATATACTCGAATACTTGAATACTCGTATAAATCGTACATATCGTACTCCCCCCGCGGATCGTCGTGATGAATGACCAACTATTGGTCGCAGCGGCAACCACATCATCATCATCATTATGGATAGGCATTTGAGGCCACTTATGGACGGATTACACACTCGGGCGCACGCACACAGCCACAGATAGAGATACTTTTACAGATACAGATACATATTTAGATACACATTCAGATACAGATACAGATACATGGTCTTATAATACAAGTGGCCAAATAGAAAGACCCTAAGTAGACGGGAGGAGTACGAGCCTCGCAATCTCGTGCGCCTCTCGCACATATTTACGATTCTAAAAAACACGCAACGATATTAACACCGCACTCTTCCCTTCTATTTTCTTATATTCTCTTTTTCCTTTTCTTTCAATCACTTTGGACACGGCTTACTTTAAAGACACTAATTAGGCATGGTAAAAATGGTACATTCTAGTTGTGCAAAAAAAAGTCATCCGTAAAGTATGTATTACCTTAATCTCAGATACTAAATATTATATTCAATTTTTTTTTCTTTTTTGAAAAACCGGAAAAAAAAATGAAAGGCTTTACTAATTCTGGATATATAAGTAGCTAAGAAGGTAGATATGAGGACCTTTTCAGAGTTCCATTAAATTATTTTTATTTCCATAATGTTTGGTAGGATATATGTGAAAGGATATGTTAAAAGGATACCTATAAAAAATATATTCCAATATTCCTATTTTTATTAGGCTTATTAAGAAATAAACTCCAAATCTTCTTGTTCTTTTTACCCATTCAGTTGAAAATATAATTTACAAATTTCAGACTATTGTTTCTTGCCGTGTGCCCACAAAATCCAAGCTGAAAATTCCGCATTCATGTGGGGAATGGAGCTGTTCTGTGCACACACACACTCACATCAAGATGGCTGTTATGTATGAAACCGAAACCGCAAAATTGACATGGATGCGAGTGAGACTGTGAAAATGTCAAGTGGTTTGAAAGGCGAAGGATATGATATGTATGAGTCGAGAGTTCCGTGCCGGGGAACTCCAGAATTTAGAACTCCAGAGCCCAAAAAAAAAAAAAAAAACAACAGCTAAGCCAAGCCAATCCCCATTCCCCTTCCCATTCGAAATCCCATTCTGATGGAGTGATGATGCAGGGGTGAAGCTGAAGCTAAACGCTTGCCACATTATGAGATGATCCTTGGCAACGACGACGATGTCACTTGAGACAAACAGAACAGAACAGTCAGCCCAAAGACAACGGGATGGAAAGGAATGGTGCGGGGTCTCATCTCTTGGGATCTATTTACTTTTAAGTTTTTCAATTGGATGATGTCACGAGGCAGCCTTTGGAGAGATGGTGTTACCATTTTGATATGGGATGGGGTATGGGGTATAGGGGGTTGTGTGTAACTTTTTTCAAGCACCCTGGCAGAACGGAAATGGCAAAAACGTTCGCCAGTCACAACCTTTGGAATACTCTTTTACATATTCACGGGATAATCTGGCCGGAGAAATGTAAAATTCACAAATATGATTTGACCTTTTTCGCTTAAAAATGTTTATGAACCATAAAACTTTTCTGAAATCATTCAAGTTGCTTTTTCTCGACTAACAAATATCAAACTAATAAGCAAGAGCATTCAATCGCCATAGTCTTTTGGCATTATGAAATATTAGAAAAATTCACAATGCGTTAAAAATGAACATTTAAAATGAGAATGGGATTGGAATGTGTGTGTTGGGTAGGGTGTATAGAATGCAAATGCGTTTTATTTCTGGAGACAATTGAAAACCACTCGAGGGTTATTGAGATGTGACAGTCAAGTAGTTGGAGTCGAGCAGTCGAGTTGAGTAACTTGACGTTTGAAATAGGATCAACTCGACGTTGGCCACACTGGCAGCGCGAATTCGAGTAAATCCCAAATCCAAAATGCTGCCAATGTCCACACAAAATGCTCGTCACGTGAGACACATTCATATCCATATGACAACCGAGTGACACAAGCGACTTTTGCTCATCAAAATGTAAAGAGGGTTGGGTTCTGTTGGGTTGTCTTGGATTGGGTTCGGTTTTGGGTGGGAGCACCACCCTTTGGGAGTGGTTAACGGATTGGCAACATAAGTATCCCTCTAATACGTTTGTAATTCACCATTTGACAGTTCATAACACACCGACCGATGTCTTCTTATAGCTCATTAAAACAAAAAGAGCTTTCTTTTGCATCATCTTTAAGATTAAACGAGGAATCACTTATGCACTTTATTTCTACATTTAATGTCTGTGAAATGTGGTGAAATTAATAGCATATAACTCAATATTTCACCAATTAACCTTACTTGAGGTTTGTATATTTTTTTTATAAATTAATTAACCCCTTAGAAACATATGGACTTTCTTTAGCCAACATCAAAACAACACTCAGTTTTTTTTTCTTAAAACCACTACAAACTTATCGCGCAGCCTTGAGTTTTCTAAGAATATATTTGGGTAGCAGAGTGTCACCTAAATTTCGTTTACTTTTCGTTTTAATGAACCTTAATCTCTGATAAAGGCCCCCCTCATTAAATTGTTCACTTTATACTCCAGTTACTTTGTAGTGTAGTCTTCATTCATTTCGATTTGCTTCTGTTGGGATTTTGAATGCAACTCGGCAATCGGTAAATAGATCGTTTTGTTGGAACCATAAAATTTGTTTCGATTTCGGTAATTGTACAAAACACAGGCGCACATCCACAGGGACAAAGAAACAAGAAACAGGTTTAACTTTGATTCCAAGTAAGTAAATATACTTAATTTTAATGACAAGAAACCGCTGCTTAAGTGGCCACTGATTGAATCTCGTTAGTTCTGGCTCAAGTAAGTTGGAATCGGACGACGAAGGAACAGAACAACATGGAACAACTGAGGCCTCTGTACTTGGGCAATAAATTCGACATTTTAATTTACATTTCATGGAAACATGATGGCTTGTCCACATGTACACTTATTCACATGAGAACACCAAGTTGCCCGGGGCCAAATGTATCCCAATCGACTGCGAACAACTATTCCATGTTGTCACATGGGCAAAACATCATATCATATCAGAGTCTAGAGCTCTGGGCTTGGAGTACTATCCCTAAATGTCACAAAAATATTTAAATAATTTACAAATTAATTAATTAATTAAAATTTGGCATCCTGAAAGTAAAAAATATATACGGCCCTGTTCTAGTTTTCACTTCCGAAAGTTTCACACGGATTCGAATTTCCCAGACCTGTTCCAAGACTCACTTCCGAAAGAACTGCACGGAATTGAATTTCCCTCTGTTGTTACTCTGTTAACTTCCGAAAAATTCACACGGAAACTTTCCGCCAAGCATATGACAGGCGGATTTAAATTCGGCAGTATACAAATTAATTCTTTAAATATACTCCGCGATAGCTTTATAAGTCAATAATATTTTTATGCTATTCCTTGATGTTTTATGTTCCTAATTGCATCATCGGAATTGAAATTATTTGCAAATATGACTTATTAATAATTATTTTGTGGTTACACCTTAAAACCCGGTAAATTCTAGCCTTGACAATTAATGCAAATCCGCCGGCCTTGTTCTAAATTCCGCTCGGATTTGGTAAAAATGGCCTAGAGTTGTCACGGTATAGATATAGGTAAGTATTTAGTTGGGACTTTTTCTAAACTAATCCGATAAGGTTCATGGTTCTTTTATAAGAAAGATAATTTATCCTAATTAACAAAATAAGTGTTTTGGTTCGGAATACTACATTATTTAATGTGAAATTTGAACGGAAACATTTGATAGGGACTTTGTTTTTCGACTTTGGCATCTCTGTATGCTCTAGCAGTTTGCAACACTATGTTTCCCCATACTGATTTTTAATACTATTCTGTCGGGAGCCTTGCAAAACTGCAAAGGGACCAAAGGGAAATATTATAAAATGTCCCTAAGAAATAAGGGAAATTTAATACTGTTAATAGGAAATCCGATAATGTTAACAAATTCACTTCCGAGTGAAAACTGGAACAGGCCGGATAGAGTAGTCATCCTTATTGAAATTTCCCGCTTATAATTGGCATCTTTTTTGGGGCCATAAATAATACCGCCCCAGTTGGTAAACACAAGTTGGAGTTTGTAGCCCAATGGCGATTTTGACACCTGTCGGTAAGCAACATCAAGTTCTGATAGGGAGTGGGATAGCCCCCATTGTTTGCATACTCGTTAAACAATTGATTAAGTTTTAATAAATTTCGAAAAATCAATATTAAAAATTAAGTGCAGTAATTACTTAAATGGCTATTTGCGTTGCCAGCTCTCGCTCACTCGCAATGCAAATATTTTGCGAACAACAATTTAAACACGCCGGGGTAAGGCAACTGGCAACGCATAATACCCGCGGGCTTGTTGTGTGTGCATTTGCACGGATGAATGTGTTGTGTATGTGGGTATATATTCTACCTGCTGCATTATATAAATATTTACGTAATATCCAGGCAACGCACATACATACACATACACAGTAACAGAGTAACAGTCACGTAAAATGCGTAACGCCCGTTGTCAACAACATAATCAACAACAGCGCCACAACCGCCACGAGCGACCAGTGGCGCCCGAATACCCCAACTCCCGAAACTCTGCAGCTCCGAAGCTTCTGAGCCTCTGAAACTCTGGCCAACACCGACGACGCACCACCAGAATGGCCAGTTGAGGCTGCCGAGGTGTTGCTGTTGGCCAGTGGATCCCCAGCTCCTCCTCCTCCTGCACCTCCTGCTCCTCCTCTACCTCCTCCTACTTTTGTGCGTACGATACACATGCATATTGTGTGTGGAAAGCGATTTGCATATTTCTCCGTTCTTTTTCCCCACTTCTCTTTCCTTTTTTTTTGTCATTAATTAAATTACATTGCGCAAATTGCAGCCACCACACACAAACACACTCACTGAAGCAAAGGCGGCATCATCAACGGGAGCCGTTTTCGCATTGTGTGCATCGTACGTCCTCAAGGAGCGGGAGTAACATCAAAAACAACAACAGAACCCCACTAAAAACAGTGCCCAGTGGTCCATTCGGTGGTCCATTCGTCCACCCCAGCGAAAGTGCACTGGGAATAAAACCTCTAAACAGTATAGAAATGGAAGCGATACGATGATATTCTATGTCGAAATATAGAGAAATCAGTTCTTAGCAAAAAACCACGTCATTTCAAGAATATTTTGTTAAAATATGAACCATGTACCTTTATTACTGGTATTTGGCCATTGCATTGATTCTTAAAATTTTAAGGATCGTTTTATAGATAAAGCCATTAAAGGTTTCATATTCTCTGTTTTGAATAATCGCTTATTAAAATATTCCAGAGTTCACTAAAAATATCAGTTTAAAATTTTAAACATTCAAGCCTTTAAGTATGTACAACCTACAACAAGTTTCACCTCGCCCGTTTTTTACTTAAACCCGTTTGGTAACTTGAGTTACGTCCTATATTTCCACCTTGTCATAATTGACATCCAGGACTTTTATCAAGACATTAGGCGTTATTGTTCCCCATTATCCATTATCCATTATCCATAATCCATTTTACACTCTCCATTTTCCATTCAACATTCTCCATGTGTATTCATCCCTTCAATGGGGAAAGGCGGTTCTGGCGGCCTGTCATCCGCATCATCGGATGGTTAAATACGATGTGTGTTTTTGAGGGAAGGTGAGATGATCTACCAGCCACAAGATAACAAGAATCAGGAGTTGGGAAGCGGGAACTAAAAACTGGATAGGGAAAATATCAAATTGGACAGGCGATAGCTCCTCGCGTTGCCTCATCTTTCCCAATATCGAATTCGAGGGCTGTCAGTTTGGATCCTAATTAGCAGGCCCATAAAAACACAATGCACAAATACTAGTTAGGAACTGTGCAACTGCTGGGCCTGTGCCTCTGATCTTTCCGGAACCATCGGTAATACTCAGAAGAGCTACCGATGCGTCGGTAGCCAAACTTCACTTCAAACGGCTCACATCTGAACAGATCTTGAATATCTTAAGCGGAGATGATTCAAAGTGTGAGAGGCTCGACAAACAAGCGGCATAATGTCCCCCGTGGTTCGAAAGGAACGCCTAACCAAAGCATATACGTGAATCTTTATCCCTAATATCTATATACATACAACAAATTATATTTTTCCTAACTAAAACATAGACTTATTTAATAATTCATAAATTATAAGGATAATATGCATTCGAGGTGCAACATTTTTGGTTTATAAAGTTTTAGAATTTAAGTTCGATTAACAGTTTTCAAACATTAATAACTAAGTTAAATATTTTAAAAGATTATAAAAAACTACGATTTTATTTTAATAATTTAAAAATAAGTATTTCATTAAACGTTATTAGGCAATCAGTCTGAATTTGTGTGACACCGTTTCATTAAGGAATACTTGTCAGATATGTAAACAGATGAGATTGTAAACAAGATGCATTTATCAGTCGTGCCTACAAATAGATGCATTTTCATTTCCATTTCCAATTCCATCACAATCTCAATCTTTATTTCCATTTCGATTTCCACACACACAACCGAAAAGCGGAGAGAGAACAAGAAAATACAAAATACTGAAAGATAAATAATAGAAAAACCGTGAAAGGGTAAATTGGGCGACATGTTGTGAAAACATGCTACCGAATTTCAGTTTACAATAGTGCGACAAAACGACCCACGACCCACGACCTACGACCCAATATACATATATATATTTTGTTTCTCCCTTTTCTGGGTTACTGTGTTTGTGTTTGCCAAGGGACAAGAGCAGAGACCTTAAGGTCCAAGGTTTAGTGTGTCGGCGAATGCCGTTTTATCTGGATGCCGAGGGACAAAAGGATCACTTTTCAGGAAAAACACTGCCAAGTGCAATTAACACATTCGGCGGAGAAGAAGAAATGTGTTAGGATCTCGGACTGCGCACTGCGGACTGCGACTGATAATGATAATGTGATCTGTGGGTCTGTGATCTGTCGCTCGGATGTGTCGCTAAAGGATCTCTGTGTGTTTGTTGTATCAACAACAGAAACTCAAATGTACAATATATATAGTAGACAGACCCTTTGATTCCTGCCCGAAAAACTAGTGGGTAAGTGCTAATTGGCTTTGCCAGAAGAAACCGATACCAAACCGAATCTATATGCATCCAAGATCAATCGAGAAAATCAAGAAAAAAGGGCTGCAGTCAGCTGCGGAACATTTTTCGGTTTTGGGGACTGGGGGTAGCTAATGCTGTAATAGATCCTAATTCCACACCCAACATCAATGTCACTTCTGTCTGGGCATCCGTTTCAATGTTTTCAGTGCTTCAAATGCCACATGCTGGCAGGCCAACAAAATGGATGGGGCGCGTGTTTTCCTATGGCATTTCATTAAACAAACTTGTATTTAAAGTATCGGAAAACATTTTCTACACATGGCTGAATCGATTCGCCTCATAAATATATTTACGTATAATGCATCTTGATAATTTGTAAAGCTCGTTTAAACTATAAACTTTATAATATGTATTGTAAAATGAATACTTTATTATTTAGTGTTTAATAAATACCACACTTTTATACTAGATCTAGTATATTGTAACACAACGAGAAAGACTAGTTTTTTTTGGTTGAACTTATATAAATACAATTTGCATGTATAGCTGTCATTATTTTAGACCTATATTGCCTAATCTTTGAAATATTACGTTCCCACAGAATTTAAGGCGTACAAAAATAGTTTCACTCTAATTTATTTAGTCCTTAATTATGTTGTATTTTTATTAAACGGTCCTTGATTTTTGATTTGATGGATTTAACAGTCCTCCAAGCCTTTTAGATCTTGCACATCTCGTCCACATCCATCATGTCCTCGGACATGCCTGCGATATTTCCACAATCTCTAGCCTTAGTTGTACGCCACCCTGAGCCCAAGGGCTTCTTAGCCCTCAAAGTGACCAAGAAGTCCTGGGCGCTTAAAGTAGCGTACCACTAAGGCCTAAGCTTATGGAAATGTGCAAGCGCAGGGTGTTATCCACAATCCAATAGGCCTGATCTCCACTGTCGAGTTGAGGAGTTTTCCAAAGACGGGATCCCTTTCTACGGTTGACTTGGACTTCCTTTGTTTTTTGGACTAAAGAGTTGCCGTCTTAAACCTTGGAAGAGGCCTTCCGCCAACTGAGAAAAAAGAATCCAAGAATGTGCTTGTGGTTTTTACACTCTTACAAATTGAGACAAACTCACCTCGAAGTTCTTCAGCATTTTGGCCATCAAATCGATGGTTTAGTTTGTTTTTTATTGTGTGGATCTCCAAGCACATGCGGATCGTCTCTAAATCTTTGTCGCGTTGTGGGGTCGTCATACCTCCCGGGGAAAGTGGGAAAACCGGGAGCAAGCACAAACGAACAGCCAAGAAAAAGCAAGAGCACGCGTTTTTCGAGCAACCTTGTTACTTAACCCGACAGACTTTGTTTAAAATTTGGAACTGTGTAGCTGTTTTTGATTGTAATTTTTCTCATATATTTTTTTTTAAGTTAGTATAATTGTCGTTTTTTTTTTGGAACACTGCTGATGTTGCCCGGACACTCACAATAGCAAGACTGATTTTTAGAAAATAAAATAACTATATCACAGAGCTGACAGTTGAAGTCAAAGCCTACCAGGTTAACAAATAATTTAGAAATATAAAATACCTCGTTCTCAATAGGCATTACCTAGCTTATATATTTAAAAAATAGTAGCATAGTAGTATATAATTAAAAAAGTAGTCATAGAAACAAAAATAAAATTTATAAAAAGCGTTGGTCCGTTCAAAAGTTATTAATAATATAAATACAAATTGCTTTCTTTTTGTGGATTTATATGCATCCCTTTGACACAATTTTATAATTATAGTTTTACAAATAATAATGTTTTTGTTTGATTATATACTGATTAGGGAATCGAAATCATCTCGTTGGTCCAACAACCGTATCAAATGCTTTGGATGGGGCGCGTGTTTTCCTATGGCATTTCATTAAACAAACTTGTATTTAAAGTATCGGAAAACATTTTCTACACATGGCTGAATCGATTCGCCTCTTGAATATATTTACGTATAATGCATCTTGATAATTTGTAAAGCTCGTTTAAACTATAAACTTTATAATATGTATTATAAAATGAATACTTTATTATTTAGTGTTTAGTAAATACCACACTTTTATACTAGATCTAGTATATTGTAACACAACGAGAAAGACTAGTTTTTTTTGGTTGAACTTATATAAATACAATTTGCATGTATAGCTGTCATTATTTTAGACCTATATTGCCTAATCTTTGAAATATTACGTTCCCACAGAATTTAAGGCGTACAAAAATAGTTTCACTCTAATTTATTTAGTCCTTAATTATGTTGTATTTTTATTAAACGGTCCTTGATTTTTGATTTGATGGATTTAACAGTCCTCCAAGCCTTTTAGATCTTGCACATCTCGTCCACATCCATCATGTCCTCGGACATGCCTGCGATATTTCCACAATCTCTAGCCTTAGTTGTACGCCACCCTGAGCCCAAGGGCTTCTTAGCCCTCAAAGTGACCAAGAAGTCCTGGGCGCTTAAAGTAGCGTACCACTAAGGCCTAAGCTTATGGAAATGTGCAAGCGCAGGGTGTTATCCACAATCCAATAGGCCTGATCTCCACTGTCGAGTTGAGGAGTTTTCCAAAGACGGGATCCCTTTCTACGGTTGACTTGGACTTCCTTTGTTTTTTGGACTAAAGAGTTGCCGTCTTAAACCTTGGAAGAGGCCTTCCGCCAACTGAGAAAAAAGAATCCAAGAATGTGCTTGTGGTTTTTACACTCTTACAAATTGAGACAAACTCACCTCGAAGTTCTTCAGCATTTTGGCCATCAAATCGATGGTTTAGTTTGTTTTTTATTGTGTGGATCTCCAAGCACATGCGGATCGTCTCTAAATCTTTGTCGCGTTGTGGGGTCGTCATACCTCCCGGGGAAAGTGGGAAAACCGGGAGCAAGCACAAACGAACAGCCAAGAAAAAGCAAGAGCACGCGTTTTTCGAGCAACCTTGTTACTTAACCCGACACACTTTGTTTAAAATTTGGAACTGTGTAGCTGTTTTTGATTGTAATTTTTCTCATATATTTTTTTTTAAGTTAGTATAATTGTCGTTTTTTTTTTGGAACACTGCTGATGTTGCCCGGACACTCACAATAGCAAGACTGATTTTTAGAAAATAAAATAACTATATCACAGAGCTGACAGTTGAAGTCAAAGCCTACCAGGTTAACAAATAATTTAGAAATATAAAATACCTCGTTCTCAATAGGCATTACCTAGCTTATATATTTAAAAAATAGTAGCATAGTAGTATATAATTAAAAAAGTAGTCATAGAAACAAAAATAAAATTTATAAAAAGCGTTGGTCCGTTCAAAAGTTATTAATAATATAAATACAAATTGCTTTCTTTTTGTGGATTTATATGCATCCCTTTGACACAATTTTATAATTATAGTTTTACAAATAATAATGTTTTTGTTTGATTATATACTGATTAGGGAATCGAAATCATCTCGTTGGTCCAACAACCGTATCAAATGCTTTTTTCTGCTCCCAATGCTTTGAATGGAAAGCCATAAATGAGTTGGCGGTGGAATCACGAATGGAAGGAGACCGTCTGGATGGTCTAGGGTGTGGGTCCTGTACAGTATACACCGAACACACCTCCTCCATTCGCCAGACGAATGGGCCTAAGTTGTGTTTTTCATTTTTGCATCTGTTAGCTGGTACTTCATGCACTTTGACCGCTGCGGGCCTTCTCGCTTGACCAGAGTCCGGTAAAAAATAAGTTTTGTATGTTGTTTTTGAGCGATTCAATTCAAATTGAATGCCATGAATATCGTCGAAGCAAACCGAGTGCAAGAGCGTTGCTTCTTTTTCTGCCGTTTTTAACAAACATAAAATCAATTACACAAGCTTCATTAAGCTTGCCGACCAGGTGAGTGTGAGAGTGTGGTCGTTGGTGGCAGGTTGGTGAGATGAGGTTGGTTCGGTAAGGTCGCCTTGTATTTGGCTTACCTGAAACTGAAAACTGAAATGCCGGAAGCCGCAATGAAATGGACCGAAAGTGGGTGGTGTGTGTGTGTGGGTGTGTGGGAGTGGCTAACGAACTACCGCATACGCGACCTCAAGAGTAACGAAATTCCTTGATATAAAAACATGGCTTAATTCTAAAAAAATAAAAAAATTTTAAAATATTTAACCAAATGACTTGAAAATTGATTTCCGAATTTCGGTTTTCATTTTTGGATTTATTTATCAAGCCGTTTTCGCTTTACATCGATCCTCTGCAAAATTTGGGGCAACATTCTATTATATCTAGTTGTTTTCTATAAAGGATAACCATTTAAAATCTAACGTCTAGCGTCTGTCTGGACTGCCACTAAGCTGATAAAATTCATTTGATCTGCAAACATTCTGGGGGGTAAAGTTCAGAATTGTAAAATAAGCGAACTGGGCATCCGCTTAGGAAAATTAGCTGACAGAGCTGACGGTACAAAGGAAAATGCTTAAGCCACAAATATTTGACTGTCGACCGCCGCATCAACAATGTTTCTCTTGGCAGAAGTTTGGTTTTTTAGTTTTGCGGCTCGAACTGGAGGTCGAGACCTCCTTTAGGGTTTTTCCCCCAGTTCAACCTCGTCCTCGTGAAACCGTGAATCCTCCAATCCGAATACGAATCCTCACCCGAATCCGTGTGTTTACCCATTAACTTGCTTTTATTGACAACGACTTTGGTGATGAAACGTAAGTAAGTAAGGAACAACATCAAAGCCAAATGCTCCTTGTCCATCCAAAAATCCAAACCCCACCCGTTTGGTTTATTTGTTTGTTTGCCTGTTGGGCTGCTTGGCTTGTTTCTGAATGTTTGCACAGCCACCGGCCACTCAAAAATTATGGGAATGGGATTGAGATTGGGATAGGGATTGGGGATTGGGATAAAGCAGAGATCCATGGACGGATTCACATTATAAAAATCAATGAATTAACATTTACACATGCAAAAGTATTTGACCACAAAAAAGAAACAAATGTACAACGACGACCTATGCCTATTTGTATATGTGGGCGTTAACCACCCCATTACCCATTACCCTATACCCATTACCCTATACCCATTACCTTATACCCATTACTAACCAGAAATCCTGGGGCATCCCTTTACCTCCTCTATGTACACACGTGATTACTGGTGTTTTTACCCCGTGTTGTATTTGCTTTTTATGCGAATGCTTTCCCTTTTTTATTTCCAGCCCTTCGCCTTCCCTTTCTTTTTTCGTATTCGTATTTTTTGTAACATTAAAGTGGGGAAGGCCCGGCACTCGGTTTATTCATCTTTGAATGCTATGAATAGGCAGACGACAAAGAAAACAAGGCTGACCGAAATCAATTCTATCACAAATTTAATCATCCTAAACAGTTTCCCCCCACACCCGGCAATTGATTCATGTCAGTGCCTTTCAATTGGCTTTTAACCGATTAGCAAGTCAAAGGAGTAAAAGGTTTTTGTAACCCCTTCGTGGATACTTAAACCACTTCATTAGCATAAAATGGCAATATTGGACAGATCGGTCCATATGTCGGCATCCTGGATATTCAGTATCCAGCACTTGCCATTCCAATTCGCATAAAAATTAGCGAGCAAATTTTATTTTTGTGGTATAGGGCTTTTAGGATAAATGTAAAATTTAATTATTCAGAACTAGAGACAAGAATGTCGATTAATATCGATTACTTCCTTCTAAAATCATTAAAACCAATCATACATCATTAAATAAAAAATAAGTTCAAATATATTATATTAAAGGTCTACTTTTTATATTAAGTAAAACACTTAAACTGGAGTTCTGAAAAAAAGTAACATTTAAAAACAATGGTTATATATATTATATATTTATATATTTATTACTTGTATATATATTAATTTTACACTGTGTGCTTTAATTTTCTTATAATAAACTATGAATTTAAATTTTCTTATGATTTAATATAAATTTTATATATATTTCTTCTGGGATAACGAAATTTAGCTTTATTAATTTGAAGAACCACTTTCTGTGAGTGGTTAACTATAATTCCATATCCCCACATCCCCAAATGGAAGGGGATTAGTTAGGACTTGAGACCGAGTTCTAGAGAGCACAGTACGCAGATTGTATGACACATGGTGTCTATTCGGGGCATCGCTATTTTACGATCGTGTATCGTATCCTAAAAACCAAACCGAACTGAACCAACCCAGCTGAAGCGATAAAGAGGCCGCAATTTGCAGATTAGATCGACTCGACTCGGAGCGACAATGGAACGTGCTGTGTTTTCTTCCTTTATTTTTTGTTTTTTTTTTATTTTTGCCGCTGATAACAGAGGACTGGATTCGCACCTCCAACCGGGTATTGGGGATTTTCTGGAGGCTGGGGGGCTGAGGATCTCGATCCCAAGACCTGGCTGCTGCTCTCTGGCTGTCAAAGACAAAGTGTCTGGCATAATGCTCATGGGCACTTTTTAAAAGCCGAAACGAGTCGGCGGCGGCGGCAGGCAGCGTTTCCTGCTTGTAATCCCAAAGCCAAGTTAACCGAAGTTAACTGAAGTTGGCCCCCTTAATCTCGCCTTTCGGCACGTATCTTCGCTGAGAAATATATCGCAAAGTGCTGGCGGTCCTTGTCCTGCGGCAGTAGTTTTACATACAATGCCATGCTGAGATGCTGCTACTGATGGTATACGGTGGGCACTCTCTTCCTCTGAAGAACTGAAGACTCGAAGCTGAAGACTCGACTCTGAAGCTGAAGAACTGAAGACTCCGATCTCGCATGCGATTGCGATCGGCGCGGTAACAAAGCGATAATGCGAAAATCGTGTAATCCATTAGCGTAACTTTTTAAAAATTTGTGACAATGACAATATTTAGATAACACACACAGAGGATATACACAACAACCAGTGCATTGATTCCATTCGGTCTCTTGATCTTCAGTTACTTTTTTTCTTTTCGAATTGAGATTCAGTTTCGGTTTGAGTTTGAGTTTCTCTGCCAAATTAATTTGTCGTCAGTGGAGCTTAGCCAAGAAGAGCGCGCACAGAAGAATCGTCTTCGGTGGTTCGGTGGTCCGTTTCTTTAGAGATCGCGGAACCCCTTCTGCTCCAGTCTTCTGCTTCTTTTTTCTTTGGGAATTACGATGCAGCAAAGCGCAGCCGCAGATTAATTTCCAAGTTCCAAGTTCCTTTAATTGAAGATGCGTGCGCGCATACTTAAATCGCGCAAAACAACACTTTGATCTTAAAAAAAGTGACGTTTAGTGGTAGTTTTTATGGTGATAATGATCTCTCGGATGGGACAGTGATGCCATTTATTATGCATCGATTACCGAAGTAGCAAAGGGCATAGGATTCCGATTTCGATTCCGAATTCAGTTTCCTCAGGATTTTATTTTCTTAAAATTAAAGCTTCCTAATTTTATTGATATTTTAGGGCGGAAAATAGGAATATATTTTAATAAAATATTTTTTAAAAACCCTTTAACTATTTCTTTCTGTGTACTGCACATCTTCAGTTTTAGCACCGACGACATCGACCAAAACAACGTCAACAATGTGACTTTAAGACACGGATATTTGTTTTCTTACATTGGGCTGCTGGTTGTTTACATCCCCAGCGACAAAAGTTTACGTTTGCTGTCATTTAAAAATGAAAAAAGTGACAACTAAACACACAGATGATCTTGTGTGCCCCACAACAGCAGCAATGAAGAAAGGCAAAGGACAATGACTCTAAATCGAATTCTAATTCTAGTTTATAGCTAAAATATTATTTATTAAAGAGAAAAAAAAAAATAAATAAAAAACTTCCCAAAATTTTCCAGTGAGTTATCGAAAGATAAACGGGAGATTCAAAAGGGGGTAAAAGTAAATCGCACAAAATTTTGACCATCTGGACTGCAACGACTCCCAAACTCCCATCAAATAGCAGTTTATTGCACTGCCTTCACCACAAGGCACGGCCGCTGGATCAGGGATCCTCCAACTCCACGACCAACTACAAATCCACATCCAAATCCTCCTCATGCCTCCGTTGTCATACATTTCCTTGCACACCACATTTTCATACTCCAGCGGTCTAAGTCCACACTGGGAAAAATAGTATAGTAAGT